GAGGAGAAGGAGGATGAGAAAAATGTCAGTTACAGCGAAGATTAATTGATGGCTGAGGTCCTTAAAACAATTTTGGTTCCTGCGACATCGGAGAGCGTGTTTGACATACTGAGCCGGTGGAATAGGCAGGATGCTTTTATTGCAATGTGTAGGAGAAACCCTTTTTGCATGATGAGATGTTTTTAACTTACATTGAATGAACTAATACACAATTGGTTTTGGAACGTTGACAATTCTCCTTAATGCAACAGTTGACAATTGGGCAGCCATTTATACCGCTGCGGGAAAATAACAACTGAATTTGGTAATCGGCAGTGACAAAGCCAATGTGTAGCAGTAACTGCCAGTAATCTGACTAAGTCTCTGAAGACGAATCCGCGACGGATGACGAATCGTCAGACGCATAAAGGTTTTGTCCCATCGATCGAGTCGTCTTTTTCTCAATTACTTCCTGGGACTCGAATGCTCGCTTGTAATGGCAGACTCAGCATTTTTAATACACTATAATGTCTGTTTATGCGTAAACTAGAAAACAGTGTACAGAAAAACGTCGGGTAGTTTGAAAAACCTAGTACTTATTCTGCCGATTTTGCATTCGCAGTGTTAGAATAAACCGTCAAGCTAATTAACTAGGGCGACATATTCCAATATAAGAAGAATTGCGAGACTTAATGTGCTTACGAATACCCATTCATTTATCTTCCGGTTAAGTAGTAAACCTTGCCAATTTCCATTCCGAAATGACCGTGCAAATATTAAACGTGCGCAACTATTCGTCAGCTGAACGTATAATTGAGAATTATTATTTAACGTACGAAAAAATAATAGAATACTTCTTTTAAAGAATTTTTTACTGATTAAGGTAATTCAGACACTGTAGAAGTCAAAAGTGTTTATTTTGGTTTGAGCGCTGATTCTTCTTCCGGAATAGGAAATTTTATAGGAAGTTATCACTTTGAGCATCTATACATTGAAGTCAGGCATTCTGTAAACATGCACCAAATTCGCTCGACGCTGTTTTTGAAATTGGATGGCCCACTCCTCTCAAGTTTGACTGCATATCAGCCACATTTTGTCTGTGTTATCATCTCCTGGAGACGAAATCCAGCAGTAGGATAAAGATTTGACCAGCTGCAGGTCCTTTTGCAGATGGACAGCAACTCCCTTCTGATGTGTGTTTGTCCATGGTAACTGCAGCACCCTTGGGAATCTTATATAGACGCAGAGAACCGGCCTGCGGAGCCTGACAGCAGACGCTTCTGCTGTAGCAAACATGCGCTGTTGGAAGAAGTTTAATTTGCTCAATGGTCTCTTGTGGACCATTCAGATCACATATCCATGGTAAAAGTGAACCCTTTCGCGAACGTCGTCCTTTGGAGCAGGACCACCTGGCTTCATGTGTTACATTAGATAGGATTATTTGAATGGTATTTTGCAAGTTTCGACAAAGTCGAACAGGGTCCAGACGGAAATGCATCAGTGACACCTTTCGTCGATTGCCGGCTTGCAACATCCGAATATCTCCTCCTACCTTCTTATTCCTCATCGTTGGGGGGTAGTGGTGGTGAAAAACGAGAAGACTGGGTTTCATGTAATTTGAGGAAATGTTGTTATGCTTACGCGGAGTCATTGGTGGCTGTTATGGATTGCCACTCAAAGTTAACTATCAAGCATGAAATCCAAATTTAAACAAATGCTTAAATTATACTTACTTAACGAATACCATTTGTCCACTCAGGAAACCACTGTTCGATGAGATTCGTTGGGAATTACGGATGCAGTTAATTTGTAATGTTTCAGAAATGTAAAGCATTATTTCCCCGGAAAGAGCTTGAAGACAGTAATAAATGCAAAATTTAATGGATCCATAACATTTCGGGAGTGCCCATCAGTTGCATCCAATACAATGTGTTGAAGGGTAATGAATGAGAAAAATACGAAATGTAATTGGTACAACAAGGTCATAGGTCATATTCACTAAGGCAAATTAGTTAAGAAAGAAAGTTAAACAAAGTGGAAGTAGAAC